AACAAGTTTTCATTTTCAAAACTTTATTAAAAGCCAACAGAACGAAAAGAATAAGAAAATGCACAATGTTACATCAAAATAATATATTGAAGAGATTTTATACTTTGATAGCCAAATAAATAGAATCCTTATATCCCGATCTTTTTATGTATTACGTTGTAAACGTCTCTGTATTGTCATTTGATATAATGGAGCAACAGTTTGACGAAAATGTTTGATATAAAATGTTGATGGTAAAATGAATAGAACAAATGTTAACATTGATGGAATAAATGAAATAAAGTACCCAATAAGAAACAACCAAGAATCATTTGCTGATTGCATACATTTTGATACAAAAGCAATGATTAAACGTGGTAATGCAAGAAGAATTAGAAGAATGGGTGCAGTCAATAAATGTCGATGTTGTTGAAATTGTTGTTGTAATGTTTGTCTATAATTTTGATGAGTATTCATAGCAGATCGTTGACGAGATTTGTTGATTATGAGAATAATAGTTGAAACTAAATTAATTAGAAATGGACCAAAAAAATGAAAAATATAAAGAAATGAATTAAATATTTGTAAAGATGATGAATAAGTAGCAATACACCAAATTCGTTTTTCATCATCATCATCATGATTTTCTTCAATAATTAAACGTCGATGAATTGGATCATGAATCGAAGTTGTAATAATAATAAATAAAAGAGTAAAAATAACAATTTTAGCTGCTTGTTGACTTTTTTTCTTATTAAATCTCATCCCTTTACTTGCAATAATAACTCGTTCAAGTGCAATACAAGCATTTAACCATTGATCCATTGTAAGAGAAATTCGTAGAATAAAATCAATAGAATGACATTGAAAAGAAAGAAAAGATCGATTTGATATCAATGTCATTTGTGTAAGAAGAAGAAACAGAAATTTAAATCCAAACATACTTATTGTACATAACGAAGTGATTGAAAGAGTAAATAAATATAACCCACAACCAACTTGAAGTACAGTTTTATTTTTAAATGTAATTAATGCAAGAAAACCATTGATAAGACCTATAATAACAAAGATAATAGTTAAAGCCATACTAAATTTGATAATATTTGATTGATAATTAATATTGAACTGATGTGGTAAAATATGATAACCTAAAATAGCATCAAGTGATAAACCAAATCCACTTGTACTAAATTGACATCTTCTTCCATAAAAACATGGACGACAAACACACATCGATCGATGTGGACAATCACGAGCATCTTGAAAACACTCACCATTATTTTCACATTCACTTTGTCCTAAACAATCAAATGTCATATTATGATTAAATTCAAAACAATTAGCTAAACGCCGTTTTTCATCATGATTATAACAAAGACAAAGATGAATATCATCATAGAAACAAGAAAGATTCAATGAATAATCTTGACATGGTAAATGATATGATTTAATACGATGAAGTAAATGTAATTGAGCAAATGTTTCATTAAACACTTCACTTATATGTGGACAACGATCGGATGGATTGATTGTTTTGGTAATTGTAGTTGATGGTTGATATGTTTGTTGAACAAGAGTTAAATAATAATTTTTGTTAAAAAGTTCAATAAAAACAAGATGAAATGTTTGTGACCATTGAATAAGAATTGAATCTTGTTTGATTGGAATTGTTGTAAATGTTGTTGCTTGTATTGGTGGTGCATTTTTGATAATTTGAATAAAATGAATAAATATTGATTGTGATAAAAGAATATCTTTTGTAAATGAGAGAATAAGTTGATTATCTTCTATTTCACATCGATCACCACTAAAACCTTTTGGACAAATACATGAAAATGTTTGTTTAAATGAAATATATTCATCAGTTGGAACACATCGACCATTATTTTGACATATTGTTGAATTGTTGTTATTTTCATGTGCTGATGGTTGACATATTGTATCTATAAGACATCGAGGACCAAATTTATTAACAGGACAAATACATATGGAACGATGATTAGTAGCAGATATTCCAAGACATAATGATTGAGATGAACATGTACAATTATATGGAATAGTACAATGTTTTCCTGACCATCCTTGATGACATTGACAAAAACTTTTCTCTTCATGATAGTCATTATTATTTGCATACTTAATACATTTACCATGAATACATTGATGATGATGATGATGTGAACATGTTTGAATTGTAGTATCATCAACAATTCGTGGAATATAAGCTATATGAACTAAGCGATGCACTGGTAAAAATGGATAATGAACTGGAAATAATAAACTTCCACGATAAGTTAATGATAATTTTTCATAAATATCAATATGTATTGAATAATTTCTTGTTGCATTTTTTGGTCGAGTTGAATAAAGTAAATAGAGATTATATTTAATATTACAATGTTTCATGGATAGATATGTAATTTGTTGAAAAGAATGAATAATTCGTTCATAACTATCATCAATAAGTGAAATAATAATTATGAAAGGTGTTTGCCAAGAGTCTGATAATGCTTGAAATTTAATAACTAAATTAACTCGTTGATTTTGATATTGACATGTGTTACCGTAGAATGTAGGTGGACAAAGACATATTGTTTGTTTTGTTTTATTGTTTGTCCAAACAAATAAATCAAAACCATGATGACAATGAGATTGATATGGATGAGATTCTGCAATGACAGATGAACTTGTTGGTGTATCTTCGATTAAATTCTGATTTGATCTATTCAATGAAAAGTACACAATCAGTTCTTTTTGTTGTATTTTCATTGTTTTGCATAGAAATTGTTCAATAGGAGAACTTTTTGATAAATCAGATGACGAACAAATATGAGGATGTGTGATAAATGTTCCATTCTTTTGACAAAACTGTTCATCATCTCCATAATAACAATTTTGTTCGTTATTACATAATGTGTGTGGAGAAATACATATCGACATATTATTTTGATTCAGACAATGAAATGTATTTCTATGTTCTTCTATTGTGGTATATTCAGTTCGACATAATGTTGGTTCATCAGTAGCACCAAGACAATCAATAAATCCATCATTGGCTTTTGTAATAGGTAAACAAATCAATTGATTGGTATGAGGTGAAACACATTGGTGTTGATTTGAAGAACATTGTAATAGTGATGATGAACTATCACAATTGATTTCATCTGCACCATCAAAACAATTCCATAAATAATTACATCGAGTATAAATATTATCACATTGCCATTGTTGACATTGAGTTTCATCTGTTTCATTTTGTCCATTGATGATGATTGAAAATAATTCTGTAAATCCATCACATATCGTTTGAAATGAAATGGTATTTCTTGCATATCGAAGTTTTATTTCATCTGCATCATTTACCCAATTGTCAATCTCCATAAGTGCTTCAAGTGTATTAATATTAGTGGTACCAACTAGTTGTTCATCATCACCCTCAGGACAATCATTGATAGTGTTGTTGAGACGATGAATAGAAATACATTTTAATGAATTCAAACATTGATACATATTTATTCGATTACAAATTGTTGAAGTATAATTATAGATGAGATCATATGACCAAATTAATCTATGTAATTTTATAAGATAATCTCTATCTACTGAATATGTTTCTTGAGATGAAAGTGGTTGATCATTATTACGATAACATATTTGATTATTAAACAAAACTTTAGAACCATTAATAAAATAATTATTGTAATGAGAATGATTATTATAACATATATAAGGATGACGATAAATACCATTATTGAGAGCTATTGAATCATTCTTTTCATAAACAAAATAGATATCGTGGAAAACTGGAGTAGCTGGAATATATATCATATGAGGACATGTACGTTGAATGATTTCAATACACTTATCATTTCGACAAAAGTCATTACATATTACATCTGTTTGAAATGGCATAGGAATAATACATTTAAATGCTAACCAACATTCATCTGATATAGTATTTTGTTTTGTGGAGAACATACCGTGTAATAATAATTCATGGCGTTGTTCTATACAGGAACTTGTCAAAGGATTAAGTACACACATGAAATCTTCACATTTAAATGACATATCATTTGTATTACAATGATGATATGGTAATAAAAATATTGGTAATTCATCGGACATATCAGTACAATCCCAACTACTTCCACTATCTTTATAAAATGATTGTGGTATACATTCTCCATTACTACATCGATATTCATTATCTTGACATTGATTAATTTCCAATTGCCAACAATGTTGTTCATCAAAATCACCATCAAGACAATCAATATGCCCATTACAAATGTCAGTCCAATCTAAACATGCTGGATGAGGACCACGATCACATTTTAGATGAGTGTAACATGTTAGAGTAGTTGGTATATATTCATAATTAGTATAGAAATGATTGATGATTTCATATAAAGATGAAGTATTCTGATGATAATAAGGATATTCATATTGACACACTGGACCGAATCTTGGTATTGTACAATTATAGAACATCTCTCTCTCCATTGATTGATCATTTGATATTAATAATTGATCGAGATAGAATTGATAATGTTCAATAATATCTATGGGTGCTGACCAAATATATAATTGTTGACTAGTTATATTTTGTTTGGCAAGTTGATCAAAAGTATATTTTGATGAGAAATGATTTAATTCAATATTAAATTTGGATGATGATTCACTCATACAATAAGAAACGATATGATGATTCGTATCTGATTGTTCAAGCAAAGTAATCGTATGTAAACAATTGTGTTGCAATCCATTATCATCATCATGCAGATTGATGGAATCTGTATAATAAAGATTGATTTGAGGTGCAGCAAGAATTAAATGTAAGAAAATGAAATACAACAATAGATAAGTCATGTAAAAGATTTTCTCTTTCTAATAGAATAAAAACCGAATGAAGTATTTTTTTTTCTTTGATTGTAAATATGTTTAAAACTGTTATCTTTATCAGAGTTTATGATAAAATATGAATCAACTTCATTTGTTCCGTTTTGATAGATATAATGTGTTTTGTTGGTGACGCAGTTCTGAACAAACTCCTGACTTTGAATAAAATCATTCTCTCTGTGCTGCATCTGTTGTATTATTAAGTTAAATAGATAAAACAAAATGCAACAAAATATCTACGTAGTATAATTTGTTATTCGACGAGTTTAAAGTTAATAGTGAATGATATATCATATATTTATTATGAATATTTAGTTTATTTATTGTAAAAATGATGATGAATCAATGATTGTTCTTTCATTTACATTTACATTTACATTTGTAATAGATTAAAATCACGAAGAAGAAAATATTTGTCATGTGTTGTTTTATTCACAATTAAATACAATAACAAGAGCATATGCGAACTTTCCATTTCTAAATAGATCAACGTAGTAACAATAATCATTTCTTAACTTTTTATTAATTTTATCTATAGTTGTATTTCTTCTATTGTTGAATAATGTTATGAATAGATGTATATATATCCAAAGGTATACCTACAATCATTATGACTAAATACTATTTTTGACAGAAAAGATAATTCTTTTCTAAGTCATTTCAGTTCCTTATAAACTTCAATGAAATGTTCTCATAGAGTCCTAGATTGATTCTTTTTATTATTCTTTGTCTAGTGTATAACTGAATTATCAATATTAGAGAAATTCATCTCATGTTGGCCTGCTTTTTTACATCGATAAATCAGATAAATAATTGTTTGTGTCAGTACAATACCATAGTGTAGATAATTGATATTATCAAGAATTACTAAGACAAGAGTCAATAATTAATTAGCTAACGATACTCTATGCTATTACATAAATACAAACTGAATATAAATCGATCATTTGATATATATGTATTTGAAGTGAATACTGTTTATTGAGTTTCTTGGTCAAGATCTATGATGATACTATGGTCAAGTGGAGTTACACATTTCTGATTAATAAGTATGATTGTATATCGATATGTTTTTTTATTTAGGTTTTTGTATTTGAGCAGCATAATATATATTAATATGATTTATAAGAAGGTAGTACAGAAAAGAAAAAATGTTGCAAATGATTCGCTTCAGCGTCATGCTTGTGTTTATTTTGAGAAAAACAAAATACCTTATTACTTCTTACGAATACAATAATATCCATATTACAATATTAAAATACGAGATTGGAATCAAACAAAACTATTTCGATAATAATCCATCTATGTTTATTGACGGAAAAATCAAACAAAATCAAGAATGTGCACGTGTTGTCAAGTTATATGTAACTCATATTCAAACACATAAAACAAAATAACATCGATACTTCATAAAAATGATCATGATACTAAATAAAATAAATATTTAGGGTAAATTTATAGTTTCTTCTTGATAAGAAGATGGAATCAAAAATAATTACAATAACTGAGTCATTGTTTCAGAGTGTACATTAACATCAGATTTTGAGAAACAAATCATATTATTACAGTGGATTATTAGTATGTCAAACTATCTAGTATATATTGATTGAAACTTTTATCGAGTAAATAAAACTATATCATACATTTATTATTCTAGCGAATTACAAGTTGATATTTTATTCATAGTATCATTAATTGTTATCAGTACAAATAATTGTTTAACTATCGTTAATACAACTCTTGATTTATAGTATTACAATTCTACAGGTGTTTATTCACATTTCTAACAAATTCAAGTAACATTCAATACAATTTATCTAGGATATTAGGGCGGACGTGCAATACACACTCATGTTAAAAGTTCATTTTTGAGGAACAAAAACCCACTATTAAGTCAATTTATTATTGAAGTGAACATAGAATAGCACATTCATGACAAATTTTTTTCAATGATAGTTATACAACTTTAGTTCAAGCTATTTCATCTTACAGTTCAAATCAAGTTTCACGTACACTCAACAGCGTTGATCGTGTTTATATGCAACAAGATGCTGTTGATTCATTGGTCATATTAGCATATCTCACAGAAAAATATTCAAGTAGATACCGTCGTTAGACACGGTTTTTTTTCTAATGACCGGGGCTAGTTGTTTGAAGACCACAGTGTGCAGGAGGAACCGCAGTTAATCGCGGTATGTCTTTGGTTAAAACCCGCAGTTTCGAAAAAGCGCAGTATGATAGGATTTAGGCACACTATGTAAGAATCTTCATCTTCCAGTGTTTTATTTTGCGAATTCTTTATTATAGATTGCGGTCTTTATATAACCTCTAGAAGTATTATTCTTTAAATCAATCTATTCTTAACATACTACTAGATTTTCTGACTGTATTTTTCTATTATTGTTATATTACCAGAACTTAATGTATAGATATACAAATTTGATAAAAGCACATGTCTTTCTTTGATAAACGGACTGAAAATTCACTCTGATATTTGTACGTAAGAGATAGGAAAGACCAAATGATTTTCATTTCTAGACTAAAAATCAAATATTGATACCGGCCTCGGCAAAGTTTAATGTCAAGATAATCTTTTTGTGATTTATATAACAATATCGTAGAATTTTAAAAATACTAATTTGCAATAGCGCAACTAAAGAAAATGATTTAAACAATTTCATATCTAAATAAACATTGATGATCGGTCAAGTTATATTGAATTAAAAATAAAAGGAAATATGTTGAAAATATTAGGTAGAATTCATTCAGACGACTGCTTATGATAATATTCACGAGATCATAGAAATTCAAATGTAATATTACATATAAATTGTTTTTTGTTAATTGATAAAATTGAAACATATTTATTGTATTCACAACTCATCTGTGTTTTAATATTTAATATGTAACGAAAAAGTGAATATTTTTCTTCACGTTTGAGGTTAAAAGAAAAAAGAAGAAAATAATGAGAAAGATTAATAAAACGGAACTGGCGATAATGAGTATATGAAAAAAATAACTTTGAAATTTCGAATACCTAACGAAAATATGATGGTTTGTCGATTGACGTAGACGAAAGGAAGTGGTAGAAAGCAAAGTAACTTCAATGAGTCAGAATGAATGTGTTTAACTAGTTGCTGTCTATTTGACGCAAATGTCGCGCTTAATTAATCTGGTAAATAAATCTAAGTTGGAAAAAATCCCGTTATTTCTACCAGCTATGTATACAAACTAAAGTTAGGTATAAAAAGGAAGTGAATTCGCATATTTTATAATTGTGTATTAAACAATACCCAAGTAAGTTTGATTATCAATATTAATTTTCCTGTAGTGTTTAGTCTTGAAGCTGAAGCCTAACGTGTAGATCGATGTAAAATTCAGTCTTTCATGATTCTTCTGTTACCCTTTCTCTCTCTATTATTGTCTTCAATATACATGTCGTTGCTGTTGTTTCTCCTATATAAGCATATGTTCAATGTAAAATTGTTACATTCTGAATATATCAGATAGCTATTAAACAATTTTATCGAGGGTGGTGGCAAGCTACTACATCTAATGTGTTATTCGATCATTTTGTTCCTTATTTTATCATTATAAGTACTCTATGATATTTGTCTTGTTCCTAATTGAATATAATTTTTATTAGTATAGGATAGGTATGCTTTCATATGAAGAATTTTTATCACTGATTAGATAGACTATCATATTTGGTATTAGTATAAATATCACCATCTAGTACAATGGAATTAATAAACGGCATTCACATGATAAAGAGTTCGAATCTAACGAGAAGCAGATAAATATAAAATAGATAGTAATATAGTAGGAGATGACCGCAACAACAAGGCAAGGTATTGATATCACAGACTAGCCGCAAACATGAGATCTCAAAGATTGTGAAATAGATGGTAGAGATAGCACACCATTATGATGATTTTTTTTTCTAAAACTGCGAAGAACTGCGGTTTGAAGATACCGTACTGTTTAGCGATTCTGAAAAATGGAAGAAAAGGTCTGATTTTCACGGTTCACAATGAACGCTTCACGGTTTCGATATATAGATCGTCAAAAGCCGCGGATTTGATTGATATTTTTTTTCCGTGGGATATTACTTTAGACATAGGTGTTAGTGCCGGATTAATAGGAAACATTATATTGAAAATTGATTCAACTATAGGCAGCAGCAGTAGTAATAGCAATAGTAATATTATTTACACACGATTCAAATAGTGCTGTTAATACGTGTGGATTTTGCAAAACAGCTTTACTTAGTTTTCTATTCTTTTTGTTTTTTCTTCTTTCGGATTATTATATTTGTCAATTTATCATCTTTAAAAATGATGATTAAAATGAGTATTTAATTATCTTAAACCAGCTTTTAGTAATAAATATTAACTTGTACAACGAGATAAACTAGCACAAAAGAGCTAAAGCTTATTTGAAAAATAACACTTTGTTGAGTAAATTTGGTCGTTGTCTCTATGGATGGACTTGTACGTAGAATTAAATTACTAACAGATATTCGAAATATTACGTATGCAGAACAGAACTGATGATTTTGAATGGTTGTCTACTATTGTTCTAAATTGCACAAATCATTTTCATGTTGTGTCTTCGTGAAGGTCTATTTTGATCTGAGAAATCGAGATGATTATTTGATTTGATGCAATACGATTCTTTTTAATTTATTAGTAAAATTTGATTGATATTAAAATAATTGATTTTTATCGATAATTATCGAAATATCGTGCTCACAAGAAAAAATAGACTTGACTTTTCTTGTTTATAAATTTTCCCTAATTATTTTTTTTTTGATATCTGCTAGTTTCCAAAAAAATGAAATTGATTTTTATTTAATGAATAATCAAAAATTACACTGTACTTCCTTTTCTCTGTTTGACGTCTTTTTCTCTGACTTATTTTCGCAATGATACATACATGACTAGATTGATGAAGTAGCTTGATATATACCAATATGGAGGATGACGAGAGGACTACAGTTTGAATTCGTCACAGTTTATTCATACAAATTTTGGTTTATGTTTTTCAATTTTCTGTTCTTGCGTGATATTATTTATAATCGATAGTTATTTATCAAAACAAAAATAATAATACTAATAGTGACTAGCCAAATTTGAGTATTTTGATTGATGAAAACCACTGATAAATATTCAGTCACCTTTACAGGAAAAAATCCATAGACGTAATCAGTCACACTAGTGTTTGATAAATAACAGTGTAGTAATTACGTTCGGTTGATTAAAAAACAGATATTTCATCGAGCGAGAAAACAAAAAAACATCATTAACTCGCATTTTGCACTACGTATTAAACAGGAACACATTCATATTTCGTTTATTTTTATAAATATCGCCAACCAAAATTACAAGTAAGTTTTCTTTATCTGGTATTTAAAAACATATACACACAAATTGTGATGCCGTCGTTTCTTCAATATCCTCACTGTAGACTCGTATTTGTATGAATGATTGTTGACAATAGTGAAAAAAATTGAACTTGATCATCATTGTCTAATCTTTTAATGTCAAGGATTTGGTTCACAAAGCTCGATTAGGTAGATTTAAGTCCGGAATGAGTTCGAGAGGTTAAGTAATTCAGTATACTCCATTCAGATTAGTTTTTAATACAGCATTATGGCAACAGGTTACAGAAAATTTTAATTCAGAATAGGACATGAAACTGAAGTCGGTGGCATATATATGAGAGGTGTGAACCAGTAATACTGAAACTGATGTTATAATCCAAGTGACTAGATCAAATAACTAGATTCTATGGAATTTGATACGAAACCGATGGACACTCTCTCGAAATCGAATGATTCCAACATCCATAATTCTTTAGGAGATTTCTTGCCAGCGATTAAGAACAGCGCGACCGGAGTCTGTAAGAGGTGTAACATCCGATACTTCCAACAACCATCGAAAAGTTTGACTTTTTCCTGTGCGAAACTGATAATTTTCTTGCATTCTATTAATAAAAATAATGAACTATAATTTTTTTATTTGATTAAAAGGAAAATATGGGTGCCGGAGAGAGCAGTAGCAACAATAATGTCACAGGTCCAGTGCCAATACGTGTACGAAACGCAAATCCACTTCTTTATACACTAGCTCAAGATCACATGAACATCCAGCCTTATTGGATCATGATTTTAGAACTACTTGTTAAAAACCTTATTATTGAACGTGTTTATAATAAAATTCGTTACAAAACATGGTTTACTACACAGGAAATTTCAATATATTATGTATTCGCACTACTGCGGAAATTTACTCCAGAAGAAAATACAGTTGTACAGACGCAACTTGAAAAGACGTTGAGAGAATCTACGGCCAATCGAGAACCAACTGATTTGCACAACATCGGGACTACTGATTTCTTATCTCGTTCATTTGTTCGTGATCAGGAAAGATTTATAATAGATATTGAACTAATGAACAAAAAACTTTATGAATATCATCGTAAAATGAAATTCGATATTTTTGACATTATCTTCAACTGTCTACCCTTATTGGGACATGCAATTTGGTATTGCTACATACAATCATCGTGCATTCAGGCTCAATCTGCCACTACATGGAACTGTTATAATGCATTTGGCTATCGTCTCTACAACTATGTATTTGTGTCTTATTGTTCTTTCTTCTTGATTTTTATAATGAAAAACCTAGCTTACTCTCACATACTAAACGATTTCGAGCTGCTTATAGATTTCAAATCGAGAGCCGTAGAATTTAAGTCGGCTCTATGGGCATCGCGTATAACAATCGTGTTTGTCGGTTGTCTCATCTTTCCTTATCTTTTGACAAATGTCATACCGATGGCAGCTGCCTACATATTTATGATTATTATCTATATAGCGTCCTGGATATTTGCATTAGTTCCGGCTGCGATTATTTTTAGAACTTCAAACTTTGTTCGACCATTACTTGGTATAGTAAAACCTGTTGAAAAACGAAGAGCTGATGTCATTGCGTTCATTTTCATATGGTATTCATATCTTAATCTCACTTTTCCGATATTACTATCTGTTTTTTATAACTATTCACAGTATATATATTATGGTGACGATTACTATGATACTATGGCAGATGAATTTAATTCACGCGATACACTGACCTATTTCAACGTTTTTCGAGCATCGGCTAACGAACAGGCACATACCTTATTGAACTTCTTTTAAACTATCATCTTTTCATAAACATGTTATAAACTATGCATAATCATAGAGGAAAGATTTTCACTTAGAAATCTGCTTTTGAGTGAAAACGTAATACAAAATACGTGAATAATATGTCTGTGTCGTTGATTGTAATTTGTTTACGTTCTATTCCCTCTTGTTCTTCTGTTCCTAATTGTGAAATTCAACTTCTCGAAGATTTTACAGAATCATTTCTTTTCATAAGTTAAATTTTTTCTTTGCTCTCTCTATGTATGAATTTTTCTGTTGTTATATGTATCTTTCTTCATTTTTACTTTAGTCATTCTATTCTTTGCTCTTTTCTCTCGTGCTCTTTTGTCGTTTTTTACTGATATGTACTTTTAAGATCTTAGGATCACAGTACTTTGCATAATAAAAAAAATGTCTTTGTCAACTATTTTACGGGGGATTTTTGATTGGCCATAGTTTAGTTAAAAGAAAGGGGTATGGGTAGATGTAGGACGCAAATTATACCTTATACCCATCCCACCGAGACGTTTTGCTCTTGGATCTGTAATTTGAGTCGCATAGAAGGTGTGGATGTGGTTTTATCTTCTCTCAAGTCATACCCACATCCTCAAGGTAATGGTTAGTATATCAACTTAGTTAATCATAGAATATGACTTAATTTATGAATTATCTAATTCGAATTCGAATGCAATTGAAGGCTGAACTGTCTAACATTAGTTCGAAAATAACTGTAAAAACTCTATTTTTTTAAATGTAGGAATAGATTTCATTTAGAAGAAAAGAGGAAAATAACAGAAAAACAATAATAAGAGTTGAAAAAGTGAAGGAATCAAAACGGAAGAAGAGTCTAAAGTGAGATGGAGAGGGGTGGCAAAGGTGAGGGAGGGTGAAGAGTGTATATCAATTCCTGTAACACCCAATAACTAGAACTAAATCTATTCTTAGCAGCACCGTTTATATTCTAATTCAAATTAAGCAGCTACTGAGACATTTACCCTTTTACTCATAAGAAACAATAAATGAAAACAGGAGTATCTGTTTTTGATGATATTTTAAATCGAAATGACTATAGAATTTGAATGGACATTTTTTATTATTCGTTTAGGTTTCTGTTACAAGCACTTTCGTTTTCTAAATTCTATTGATCTAGCGATTTCTCCGGCGATGCTTTTTGAATGTATGGATGTGGATAGCTAAAGAGAAGAGACACCCACATCTACACCGTTACTTATGGAAAAACGTATTGTCTTAGAATTAGTACAAGTAAGACAATACATAGAGTTTGCTAGAAACAGAAGGATAATACCGATCAACATGGAAATGGAAGTAAATGAAAGTGTTGTGATTGACACATTGGATATATTAGTTTTAACTAAATGAGAAGAATGCAGCTTTTCGATTTTTTTATTTAATATAATGAGAAATAATAATCTTAAATAGAAATTAGAATTTTCGATCTGGACTGTTGTTATAAGTGGTCATCATCAGTAATCAACACCAAAAACATCATCAATAATAATTTAATCAAATAACCATTTTGAGGGTGTGGATGGGCGTGGATGTGGGTGTGAGTTCTGATCGAGAGTAAAGATAATCACAAACGAACACCCACACTTACCCTAAATAATGAAGTGACGAAAATCTTAATTTTTATTTTAATAAATAAAGATAAACAAATAAAGTAAATCTTTATATTTGTAAAAAAATATAAAATAAAGAATAAAGATTTCTTGTTTCTATCGCCACATACTTTTTTTATTTCCATAGAATAGATCACAAAAAACTATCATATTATATAGTTAACTATAATATGAAATTACAATTTCGTATACATCGTTTCTTGTTTGATTCTTTTCTTTTTGATGCTGTGGCATATGGAAATGATGATAATGATGAGAAAAAGCATTAATAAACGTATTCTGTTATTATACAAGATATTTGCATATGTACTTATTGCATGAAAAAATGTATCTTTATCTTTATTTTTATGAATAAAGTAAAGACAAAGTGACACCTCTAGTATGCACCGCCAGAATAAAAATCATGCTACATATAACAGACGATACAATACACATAACGTAATTAATAAAAGCTAATTATATGTCTATACAACAGTGTAGACCTTGTTGTATTACAAGCTATATGTAGCGTCCATTTTCTCCTCTTATTCATGTTCATCCTTCATTCTAACTATAAAAACATCAAGTTTATCCATCTGATCATTGATAATATCAGAACTATCTATGACTAAAATAGGAAATATTACCATTAAGCTGACATAGAACGATCCAGCTTGAAATGGCTTGCTACGTAGTGCTTTATATAAACTCACAGCCAATTCTATAAAATGTGCACATATTTTTATTAAAAGTAAATAATAGTTAATGGAAATATATATTAATTATTACGGAGTTATTAATTATTACGGAGTTATTAATTATTACGGAGTTATTAATTATTACGGAGTTATTAATTATTACGGAGTTATTATTTATATGTAGAATTGTTTTGAAAACGAGACTACAAAGAGAAGTATTGGTAAGAAACAGGGAAACATAACTGAGTTGGATGCCCGATTATTCCAGCTTTCACCATCTTTCTCAGTATGATTCAGTAATAAATCAAATTTCAATGGTTGAAATAGTTCTAAACGATGAAAGTCAGGTTTATCACTGTCAGGTGGCGCTGGATAGAGTGCCTCATAAGTGCGATTTTTGCCTTCACCATGAATAGCATAGGCATTGAATAGATTAACATTAGCAGGAAAATGAGCACGAGGTACATGTACTCGACCAATCCATCGATTGAATGATGGATATTCAACACGATAGTCAGGCAATGGTAACATTTGTTTTAATTCTTTACGTCGGCCAATTAATAAAAGGACAAGATGATAATTATGTGGCGAAAATTCAAGTTCAATATAGTGATCTGTTGATGATGCTAGAAAAAATAGTTCAACAACTTCATAATTATATAGTTGTGGATATGGACCAGGTGGTGCTGATGGAGGAGCTGTGTCATTAAAGAATGGTGCATCAATTTCGATTAAAAGATTGTTTTCATCTGCAGTCGAAGAGAGAGAAAGTTGAATAGGCCGATGATCGACAATGGGCGCTGAATTCCAGAGATTTTCAATTGTAAAGTTTATTGTTGCTCCGTTAGTCATATATACGAACCAGAACAGAAGAAAAAAGTAAGAGATAAAGACAGTCTGCATAGTAGCTGTATCTCTCAGTGTCGTTATATTAGAAGAAATAAAAAACTTAAATGACTGCTATTACTACTTTTACCTACAGTTTATATGACTATCATATGAAGAATTGAAAGAACACGAAGAAAAATGAGTATTAAATATTTCTCTAATCTTTGCGTGAAGCACTTTTTATGTTTTACGAACTTATTCTTCGCAACATCTCATCTCGCTTTTTCTTTTCTTTTTTTCTTTTTTTTTATATATGATATCGTCTATTATATCCTTTGTTAGTGTAATTTGATCGATCTTTTCTATATTTAGTGATGTCATCTCCCTTTATAAGTATGTATTTATTACTACTTTATTTTAAATAATGAAGTGTATGATTTGTTCTCATGCTTCTGTATCATAAACGAAAATCGTTTCTATGATAACAAAAAGAAAATCGTGTATATTCTATTATTTGCGAAAAACGGGTGCACCTACGAACGTAGTCAGTTTGCTACAATAACAAACAATATCTGTCTAAATTTGTGAAAAAAATGATATTATTTTAGATCGTACAAGAGGATAAAGAAAGCAACGATAGTTAAATGCACACAATAAATTCAAACAAAGATCGTTGATGGCAAATGCTAAAAGTTATTTTGTTCTGATCTTACTACAATTGAATAGATGTTTAACATTGATTGATAGTACGGTCTTATATGAGTATTATACAACCTATATGATCTGCTTCACTTATCATACAAATTAATGAAATCATCATGCGTTTTTTTATTTCATAAGATTACGTATAAGTGCTTGAGGACAAATCTCTGCAGAATAAGAAACAACAACAGAGAGATCATCCACAAAAAGATGTTTTCAGTGCAACATAAACATATTATTCAAAATATCATGATAATATATAAAATTCTTGTGAGAGTCCCTTGTACAATAAGAAAGAGTTGAGTGTTGTACCATTCATGGGTGACATATTTGTAGAAGACTTTAGCGAAATCGGATATATATCGTTCATATTAAGTATATTTGTTTTAGCTTCTGACAACAAGATTGCATGCTCAGATTTGACATAAAGCAGTTGAAAACGAAATAAATAAATTCGTAGCATGATTGTGGTAATAATTTAGTTATTTTATTTGAAATACCACCTACACTTGAAGAGCCTTTACTTTTCAAGTATAAGATAGTTTTTCTGATTACAGATTTTAATATATCGATTTCATGTTCGTGTTGTTATCTATATATATCTTTTTTGTTGTGTACTTATGGTTGGCTCTAATACCATGGAATATAACAACTCGTTTTGTCTCATTTTTAAAAAGAATCAATTACCACATCATTAAGGATACATCTTTATTCTTTTTTATTCACATCTTTATCTAAAATTCTTCGTCTCGTAAGCAATAAGATTTCTTTCTACTATATTCGAATTTTAAATCAATTCAAATATAATATTTAAGCACTACTGAAATGAGTTATAATACGTATTTGTTTTTTTTGTCAGATAATTCACTGTAATTGATATTTTGATTTAATTAATATTTTGCAGATATATGAGTAATACTGTAGGAGCCATTGTTTGGAGGCATTGTTTTTAGATAACAGGCACTTGAGGGAATATCTAATGTAAAACTTTGACAAGTAGAATTGCCTAGACACAGTGCACAGCATGCTGCCCATTGTAGACCTCCTGCAGAGGCAAAATCAAAGCCTAAGATATCAGTATTGAGTAAGATAGTCATATTTCCACATGAATAAGGTGCTAAAGAAATAATATAGATATATATAAATTCTGAAAATGGTTGTGTGCGCAGTACAATGAAAACATTGATAAACAACGCTATATCTCTATGACACTGCTCTATTTATCTCCACGATACTCTTAGTGAATAATGTAGAAAGCTTACTTGTTGTTGACTCTGTCGTACTGGTAGTACCTATAAAATGTCAAAGAAACTCATTTGATAAAGAGAAAATAATTCAAACTCACTAGTACTTGTTGTGTCTGTTGTTGTAGTTGTTGTATCTGTTGTTGTTGTTGTTATTGTTGTTGTTATTGTTGTCTTCTGTACCTTTGACAAAGTAACAGCGGTGGCAGCAGCAATAATTCCAATAATAAGAGCAATAAGCAAAGATATAAATATGCATAAACAAGGGCGAGAACAATTATTAAGAGATTTACGTCTAAATTTAATAAAATATTAAGAAACAGTAGAATAAAATAAAACAACTGACGTTCTTCGTTTTTTT